ATATATATATATATATATATATATATATATATATATATATATATATATATATATATATGGATAAAGGAAGAAAAGAAACATACCGATTTTGAGATTGTAAAATATTTATGGAGTTCAATCGGAAAAAAGGAGAATCAAGCTATGAACACGAGAGAGAGAGAGAGAGAGAGAGAGAGAGAGGTTGCGGAACAACCGTTGTTCGCCGCTAGGATCTTCGGACAGGAAGAAGGTCAGTCGTTGTCGCACCACCATTGATCGTGGTCGCTAGAAAAATAGCCGCCATCGTCCTCCATCATATTCGCTGATTAATTGGTGAAGTCTTTATAATTCATCTTCAAGTAATCGAGGTGAGTACATGGGCATCAAACGCTAAATTATTCATATAAGTTTAAAAGTCACGTTCGTAATCTTGTATGATTGATTATGTGATCTATTTGATTATGATTTGAATTATTATTTATTAAAAAAATATATGATGTTCTTGATTGATCGAGGAAGGCTAGGTAGGTTCTCTTACTCCCATTTGCATACTTTGTGCGTCAATAACCTTTAAAAACATTATACGTATTGAATGATTTGGAATTGGATCAAACTCTGCTGTTTCCATACATTTCTAACGTTAGAAAATAGCTAGATATAGCCTAACGGTACACAGCTGTCGCCATAAGCTAATTTTCTTATACGGTAATTGTACCCGGACGGTCGGGGGTACCAGCCCCATTAGAGACCAGCGCTCCTCCTCCCCATTTTTTAGAAAGAGACTAGTACTATATTTTTTAGAAAAACAGCAATATTTATTATTATTATTATTATTATTATTATTATTATTATTATAAATTGCTCCATATTATTTTTATTTATTATTATTACTATTATTATTAAAATTAGTTATTATAAAAATAGCATTGATTTTTATTTAGGAAAATAGCACTTGTTATAAAAAAACACTTATTATTAATATTATTATTTATTAAAATAAAATAATAAGTAATTTTAGTACTTTACTCTTTTATAAAAATAACAATACTTTTTAGTACTCACTCCGTCCCAGAGTATTTGTCCACTTTCATTTTTACACACCATCCAATGCACTTCTTTAATCCATTTTATCTTGTAATTTATATATTAAAAAATTATAGAAATTATACATTAATAATCTCTATGTTATGACAAATCAAACAAGATCACACATGACTATATTTAGGCTTACACATTAAGAGAATTTCATGAGTCAAAGTGCTTAGATGAATAGTTCCAAAAGTCAAAAGTGGACAAAAACTGGGGGACGGAGGAAGTATTACTTTGTAATAATTATTATATACTTCTATTTTTTTAATTTATTATTCTTATTAAAAGTTAATTAGTAGTTTTCTTACACTATTTTTTAAGTAAAACAATACTAATTATTATTATTTAAATTAAAACTTATTACTATTATAATTAAAAACAATTACTAGTACTTTTACTACTCTAATACAATAACTAATAATAAAATAATAATAATGTTATGTACAAATGTTTTTTGATGTTCTCCATGTCCTTTGATTATCCCATTAAATTAGACCTTTGCTTTTCCCCTTTGTAAGCCTATATATAGAGGCACTATATGTAGAAATGGAGGATTCATCTCTTTAGTCTCTCATTGCATTCCTTCTCTTTTCATTCTCCATTGCACTTTGATCTTTCATTTGAGTTCTTATCAAGGTATATTTCTATCATTTTGTTCATAACAATATTCGTATTATCTTTATTTCTAACACGTTATCAGCACGATAGAAAAAAATTCTAATTTTATAGAAATTACTTCCCTTCATCTTTTGTCCTTATTGATATTCATGTTATAGATATATACATATACATATGCACTTATTTATTTTAGTTTTTTTAGTGAACTTGAAGATATATTGAATCTAAAGATCGATCCTAAATATATTAGAGAATTGGCATGTGAAGCCTACATTATGTGTTAAAATTGAAGGTTATATTATAAAACTCAACCTGAAGTTTGAGTGCATATTATGTCGAAAAATTTTTCATTTCTTTAGTTTTTTGCTCTTTTGGCTAGTGAACTTGAAGTTCATATTCTGATTTCATATGCTCGAAGCATTAACAGTGAAATTCAAACATGAAGATTTGAGTATGCCACATGAATAAATAGGTGACATTATTATTTACTATGCAACAAATAAATAATAATAGTAATATTAATACTATAGACGTATTATTTGTGATTATGTAATGTGCTCTAATTTATCATTATGTCCATAGTTTTGCTCTAATTGTAACCTCCGCTATAATAATAATAATAATGCATAATAAATAATAATAATAATAATAATTGAGACCCTTCAAGTACCTAAGCCGTTTTTTAATTAAAAAACCCTATTATTCAAACAATACACATTAATTTATTTATTTTTCACAATAATAAAAAAGAATCAACATGTTCATCAAAACACAATATATGGGTATATGAGATAGTACCTAAGGTCTTATAATATTGAATTACCACCTGAAGTGGCTGATTTTTAGTATTAAAAAATCTCATTAAAAAAGAGACGTTTTGATATTTCAAGACCTTTGTTCTAATCTATATATGATTCCTCATCGATGTTCATGAAGAATGATGTAGTTAATATATTATAATCAAAGGAGTGATTATACATATTATATTTTTTTTTAGATGTAAGAGCTTCTTTTCTCTTGTGATAAAAGAAGTTAGTGTGGATATAATTTTCTTTTTATACAAAACTGATAGATAGCTTCAGAAGAACATTGCATAATAAGAGCTGCATAATAGAAGTAATAAAGGCCTCATAAATATTGAATATTTTGAGAGAATAGTTATTGTCCTTCATTGACGATTATTCTATTGGGTATAAACAATTAAATCCTTATTGTTTAAGAAGTCTCTATTAATGTTTAAGATACCAGTGGAAATGAATATTACATGACACTTGATCGAGATTTGTTTTCACGTAAACCAGAAGTTTACTGAATTTATTTTTTATTCTAAACATAACCAATTAAATTATCATGTTTTAGTTTGTGGTGTGAAGAAAAAAATCATTAAGAACTCAAGTGAGCACTATTTGATGAACAAGTTTCTGTTATTATAAGGACCAGAAGATCTTATAGTCTTGTTCTCATTAGAAGATTATTATGAGATTATTACTAATGAAACTTGAGATTCATTTCATACATATTAAGAAATTGTTCAAGGATAATTGATTGGGCCCATCAACTATTCGTGATCACAACTTAAATGTTATATATGATGCATCGTTATATTTTTCATATTTGTTGACAATTAACTTGTAACCCGTAGTTTATGATATTTGTCCTATGGACATAATTTATAGGTTATGTTGAACACCATTAGTCACATAAGAGCTTGTAGCTCTAGTTAATATGCAAAATGCATTGAATTGGTGGCTATACTTTTGATTATGAGAACAAAGCATTTTATACTGGTTTTTGAATCTTCATTTATGTGGTAATTATTTTGAGCAGATGCTTAGTGGGCATAAATTAAAAGAAATTATCAAGGTACCACAATGGTAGGTAGACACTGAGGGAAGGTTTTTGAAGGAGATGAATGGAAGATAAATTCCATGACATATGCTAGATTATATATATTCTTCAATTAAAGAAGATGTTAACCTGATGTTCAAGAAAGAAGATTGTACTACGATATTGCAAATAAAGTGCTCATTATGAATTTTATGTGTCAATTGTAAACACTTTGGTTAGAAGTGAATTCTAGATATTTTCTCAACCATAAAAAGGTGGTCTTATTATAAGGAACCTGTAGTTCCAACATATAAGAACCTGAAGTTCTCCTTCGCGTGTATTTTATATACACATGTTCATTTTTATTAATCTTTCCCTATAAATAAAATATCAAATCTTCAAATTTTTGAGTTTCTTACACTTGATATCTCCCGAAGAGAAACAAGTTTGTCCCTTTTCACAATATTTGATTGTTTGATTGTGTGCCTTATATGCTCTCTCCCCCACAATGTATTCAATATAATGTAGAAGACTGTGTATTGACATTGGCTATAACTCCTCGTCTATTGTTAAATGTTTAGAGTTTTTGAAAGGAGAATTATTAACATCAAAGTAAGTTGGTTGTCAATTTTATGATGAAATATTTCCAGTCTTAGGGGGAGACAAGAATAATGAAAGACTGGTAATACAATAAATTATATGAAATGCATCATTGTAAATTTTCGACTCCTGAAGTGGTCAATGTAATTTTGAAGTCTGATTTTCAATGAAGAGCAAATGGATTACTCGATGCATTCACATATATGAGCAGGGTGACAAAGTTACATATACCAGCATTTTATGCATCGCTCAATTTAAGGTAGTCCCAGAAGTGACTATTGAACATTTTATGTAGGAGAATAATTGGTTTCAAAGATAAGAACCCACGAAAATGAAGATATATAGCAAAAATGCTATTAGTGAAACCACATACATGATTATGAGTGAAACCCCAGAAGAGGTAACTGTCCTAGAAGAAGACTAATACTATTCCAGAAGAAAATGAAACCCTAGAAGAGGTAAATGTCCTGGAAGAGACTAATATGATTCTAGAAGAATAAGTTTCCTAAAGAAACATCAGTACCGAAAGAAAATGAGATCTCTATTAATTATGTACGAGACTGTACAATATGGAACAAAAATGAAACACGTGTTAATGATATTATTGCATATGCTATGGCAATGGATGTAATCAATAAAAGAGATTGCATGCCTAAAACTCAAAGAAGAGTACATGTAGATAGTACATAAATGATTTGCCAAAATGGAAAAAGACCATGAAGGTCGAATATAAGTCACTCGATAAATGAAATATTTTCGGACCTGAAGTCTGAACACCCATAGACGTCAAACCAATAGGTTTAAAATGGGTGTCTGTAATAAACAGAAATAAAATGAATGAGATTGTGCGATATGAAGTACTACTTGTAAGGCAAGGGTTTTTCCCTAATCTCAGGAGTTGATTATGAGGAAACGTATTCTCCACTAGTGGATGCAATATCCTTTTAGAATTTTAATTGGCCTCGCAATCTCAAAAGGACTTCAAATAAATGATATAGATGTCGTTATAACATAATTATAAGGGACACTTGAAATCAACATCTGTGTGATAATAATCCCTGAAGGATTCAAAATGCCAAAAGAAATAAAATTAATACATCGAGATATGTGTGAAGAGATCGTGGAATGGTTTTAAGTAATCTGGTCATATGTGGTACAATTGACCCAGTGAATATCTCGAAAAAGAAAGATACAAATTTGAAATCAACCTATGTGTTGTCATTCAAGGATCGCTCTCAATATTCTTTATTATAGCAGTTTACGTCGACGTATAAATATCATTAGATCTCCTGAAGCGATAGAGAAAACAAAAAAAACTGTTGAACTCTTGAAGAGAATTTGAGATGGAAGATCTTGACATGACATAAATTATACTTTGGATTGTATTTTTAACACCTATATGATGGCACATTTGTCCATAAGTTAAACTACATCCAGAAGAAGTTAACACATTGAAATATGAATAAAGCTCATCCTTTGAACATACCCATGGTTGTTCATTCATATATATATTCATAACATTCTAATCGCCTCCCAGAAGAGGGCGAAGAAGTACTTGGTCCTGCAATACCAAATTTTAAGGGTGAAATTAGATTGGTAATGTGTTCACATATGGTAATAAGACTTTTTCTTGGAAGTCGACTAAGCGAGCACGACCAGATAACTGAGGCAGCATAACTGATCCTGCAGTATTAGTTAATATAGGTCCTAAAGAACCTAGCCAACATTATCGTGTAGCATAATGTTGTTAGTGTATAATGAACGATGATATATCTTAGGGGCAGTGTTAAATATGGCAGATATATTACTCTTATTATTTAGAATATCTAGTTACCTTGTTTACCTAGACTTTACCTCCTCCCTGTGTATGTATAAATACCCCGACATATGATGAATAAAGTACTCAGTTCAAAATTCCTGAAACATGCAATCAGAAAGCTCGTGAGTTATTCTCAATCAAGTTATAGAGATCATTATACGGATTCAATCTGGTAGAATGTGGTATAGCCGTCTTAGTGAATACCTTGTTAGAGAAGGTTACACAAATGATCCAATTTGTCTATGTGTTTTCATCAAGAAATCTAAAGTTGGATTTGCTATCATAGCAGTATATGTAAATGACCTAAACCTTGTTGGAACACTAGAAGAGTTCTATTTAATGAAAGAGTTTGAAATGAAAGATCTTGGGAACACCAAGTTTTGTCTCGGCCTGCAGATTGAGCATGTATCAAATGGGATTTTTATCCATCAATCAACATATACGGAAAAGGTCCTTAAACGATTTTACATGGATAAGGCACACCCATTGAGCAGTCCCATGGTTGTTCGATCATTGGATGTAAAGAAGGACCCTTTTCGTCCTCGAGAAGATAATGAAGAACTTTTAGGTCCAGAGGTACATTATTTAAGTGCTATAGGGGCGCTAATGTATCTTGCAAATTGTACAAGACCTGATATAGCCTTTTGGTTATTTTGTTGGGAAGATATAGCTCAGCACCAACACGACGACATTGGAATGGTGTTAAACATATATTACGTTATCTTCGTGGAACAATCGATATGGGCTTGTTTTATTCGAAAGGTTTAGAATCACTAGTTGTTGGTTACACTGATGCTGGCTATCTTTCTGACCCACATAAGGGTAAATCGCAAAGTGGATATGTTTTTACTTGTGGTGGTGCTGCAATATCATGGACATTAGTAAAGCAAACACTAGTTGCAACCTCATCAAACCACTCAGAGATAATGGAGCTATATGAAGCAAATCGAGAATGCACATGGTTAAGGTCAATGGTTCATCACATTCGAGAAACTTCTGGATTATCTTTGAATAAGGCTCCATCATTACTCTATGAAGATAATGCTGCTTGTATTGCACAAATTAAAAGTGACTACATCAAAAGCGACAAGACAAAGCACATATCACCAAAATTCTTCTATCCGCACAAGCTTCAGAAAAGTGGAGACTTTGAGATTTGTCGGATACAGTCATGCAATAACCTTGCGGATTTGTTCACAAAGGCATTGCCAACCACGGCATTTAGGAAGATGATCAATGGTATTGGAATGCGTCAACTCAAGGATCTTTTGCCATGTCCAGGGGAGCATTATAAGCACTGTACTCTTTTTCCTTCGTCCAAGTTTTTGTCCCATTGGGTTTTTCTTGGCAAGGTTTTAACGAGGCAGTGTCTTAAGCTCAAGTCTACCTAAATGGTGAACATCCAAAATCCAAGGGGGAGTGTTTTGTACAAATGTTTTTTGATGTTCTCCATGTCCTTTGATTATCCCATTAAATTAGACCTTTGCTTTTCCCCTTTGTAAGCCTATATATAGAGGCACTATATGTAGAAATGGAGGATTCATCTCTTTAGTCTCTCATTGCATTCCTTCTCTTTTCATTCTCCATTGCACTTTGATCTTTCATTTGTGTTGATATCAAGGTATATTTCTATCATTTTGTTCATAACAATATTCGTATTATCTTTATTTCTAACAAATAACTATTAGTAATAATAATAATAATAATAATAATAATAATAATAATAATAATAATAATAATAATAATACTAATAATAATAATAATAACAATAAAAGAAGAAGAAAAAGAAGAAAAGAATAATAAAGGAAGAAAAAAGGGGGAGGGATTTGAGTGGGGGGTGCGGTCTCTAATGGGAATTAGGAAGAGAAAAAAAGAAAGAAAGCGACAAAGAAAGAAAGAAACAGGAAATAAGAAAAAAAAGATAACGGAAATTGAAAGTAACGGAAGCATGGACGGATTGTCACTTCTTAGTAATTTTTTGGATAATTAAGGTACCACGGAGTATATTTAGAAAAATAATGGGACCTAACAGTTCTTATCACAAAATTGAAGGTACCGGCAGCAATTTTTTGTTTTATTCTCTCACTTCTTAGCACTTTTAAGATACTTTAATGCATTTTATACTGAAATATTAATACTTTCCAATATTTAGCATTTAAGACTATTGTTTATGTTTTATACATAAAATGCAAGATTTTGAGCAAGATTATATTTTACAATTATTTGAAAGTATTATTTTCCTTGACACAATCTTTTTAGATATATACTCCGTGTTTTGGAGCTCAAAAGCAATTAAAGGAATAGAAGGATTGGGCCAAGCCCAGACATCTAATTGGCCATCACCCTTTTGACCCAATTGTTAAGCAAGGAAATAAATAAAAGAAAAAGAAAGAAAGAAACGTAGAAGAGGTAGGAGCCCTAGGCGCAAGAACCAACCGGATAGCCTTCTTCTTCAACTCCCACTCTAATTTCAAGTCCTAATCCAAATTGAAGACTAAAGCTGGATTAATTTGTGTATAAAAGAAGCAAAAAGAATGGGTTGAATACGGAGACGGATAGAGACGAGAGAACAAATCGGAGCAGAGCAGGTGCCGACCTAGGGTTCCGACCCTAGGTCCGGCGACGGCAATTGCACAGCGGTGACGACGACGGGAGGTCTGGACGGCAACTCCGACCCTAGGCATATTCTGAGCGGCGGCCATGGATGGAGAAATTTCTTTGGCAGCCATTTCTTTTCTTTGGCAGTGAACGAACGGATGAAGGAGCAATACTCAGGGGAGCAATTTTCTCCTTTTTAATTTCATTCTTTAATTAAGACTTTCCAATTTATAAGTTTCACAATTTATGAATTTGATTGTCAGTATTAAATATGTTTATTTTCAATTCTATGTTTGTTAAATGTGTAAGTTATATTACAAATGTTGAATTGCATGTGTGTTGATGTGTGTTGATGTTGAATTGTTCAAGTATGATTTATTGATTGATTATTGTCTCTGAAATTATGAAACCTTTTTAGGCCGGATCGTTTGACAAAAAAGATTGAATCTTTGATTTGGTTGTTTTTTTGGATTAATTTGACCTTGAAGGAATTTTAGCCATTGCGCTACTGTCAAATCTAAACTCGAAAAGGTGTTTGAAAACTGGTCTTTGTTTAAACTTGGATTAGATCAATTTAGGACGGCCGCCTAAACTCTAATTCCAAATTTCCAATTGACAGTTTTAAGATCTTGAGTACGTTTATAGCTGAGATTTTTAAAACACAAGTGTCACCTGGTTAATACTTAATTGGCTCCACCTAGTTTTTATTAATCAGAGTTTTCAAGCTGGCTGTGTTAAATAGATATAGTCTACTGCATAGTTGTTAAGTAATGTTTTCCAAAAAACTTAATGCTCTATTTTTAATTAAATCTGAGGGCAGGTCCTTGGATTGTTAAGAATAGTAGGGTCTAGAGTTATGTCAGGTATTAACATAGGCTATATTAGGGAGAATAGGGAAGAACCGCATGTGGACCTCTTCTTCAGCTTAACCCTGAGTTTGATTAGCAGTTTAGTTTCAGGATTAAGACATAATTAATTGATTAATCAGATTTTGTTATGGTTATTTTCTATTAAAAACTATACGTATTTTCAAAATGGTTTAAGTTAATTATTATTGTCTACGTTTTTATAAAATTTATTGTGTGATTGTTTTTGTGTGTTGGTTTCTCCATGAGTGTTCTTCTGAGTTTGAGTTGCTGTTGTGGTTCTGGCTCTTATCTCTTACCTGTTATCCTTTTAAATTTATCTTTCAAACCCCCCCATATCTGTTAGTTTATTTTTAGTTGCTACTTTAGTTAGTTTTTAGATTTTAGTTATGGAGTAGTTTTTATTCAATAAAAGTGACAAGTGAACTGATTTTCATAGCCTAAAAGTATCTTTCCTCGTGGGATCGACCCTTACTTGCCCTATCTATATGTTTTGATGAATATTGAATCATAAAGGGGGTTAAAAGTTAAGGAAATAAAAAATTAATTTGTAGGTGCTACGACACGCCTAACATGTGTTGCATGACAGTAAGTGGAAGGTGTTTATACCCGACGTTAGGCTGCGAACTATTAATATTATGTACTACCTCCGTCCCGCTGTATTCGTCCACTTTTAACTTTTGGAACTGTTCATCTAAGCACTTTGACTCATCAAATTTTCTCAATGTGTAAGCCTAAATATAGTCATGTGTGATCTTGTTTGATTTGTCTTAACATATAGATTGTTAATATATAATTTCTATAATTTTTTAATATACAAATTACAAGATAAAATGGATTAAAGAAGTGTATTGGATGGTGTGTAAAAATGAAAGTGGACAAATACTCTGGGACGGAGGAAGTATGAGTTTAAGAATACAAAAGTATGAACTTGAATATGGATAGGCTACCTAGCTAAACTATAGGTAGACAAAGAAACATGATAAGAATACAGTTAGGAATTACTGGTCATGTAATGAGCCGAGGTGCATGCATGATCACTTGGGTAAACCATGGGTACGGGGGTCGTACATCTATTCATGGATGTGAGTTTGTGATCCCACCCAGTCAATGTTGGATGTCGTTGTATCGAGCAAGTTCTTTCATGGATGTGGTTGAATCAAGACTCTAGAAAAAATAAATAATTGACCTTAAGCTATGATAGGTTATGAGCTTAGAATTAAGAAAGATTGGTTATGAGCTTTGCATATCGATTTTGTGTCATAAATGCCTAAGTTACAAATATGATAAATTTGGTAATCCAAGTAAGTACGTTTGTTTTATGAATTGTTTGATATTATTGATATTATTGATGTTGTACTTGTGTGCACGATATTGTATGAAATTATGAGCTAGTGAGTTCATCTGTATGTAGAGTCGAAATGTTATATATTTCTCACTTATCTTCAATGCTGAGCGTGTAACCCTTTTTCCTCTTTGCTACACGTAAGTAACAGGAATAACGAATAAGGAAATAATCTTGGAGGGAAGCGAGGATGAGGGGATTGATGGATGTTGGATGATGATTTTATTTAATCAATATTTATGTTTGAATTTATTATGTTTTCATGCAAGAAACCAGAGTTGTATTTTGATTAAAGTACTTAAGCTTCCACACAATTTGTAAATTCCGATGGATGTTTTGAATATGGATTTGAATTAAATGTTTTAAATTGGTTTGAAAATTAGTGTGTTTGGATGTCAATCTAGTGACAAATCGATTCGCTGGTCCTTGTATTTGAGTCACGTGGCTCAGGGTGTTACAGCCCCTAACTCCCTCGGTAAATTTCCCCACTGGACCCGACATGAACTACCCCCTTAGCCCTCCCCCATCCCAACACCTGCAATTTCATCTCCCAAATTTAGTTGACTTTGGAGAAAAAGTTTGACCCTAATCAATTAAATTGGGGGATGAAATTGCATGTGGTGGGCAGGGGATGGGTTTTTTCGATCAGACTAGGGTGGGGGGTTTACCGAAGATTAAGGAGGTTCATGAATCATCAATTTTACAAAAGAAACACTATGAGTGCACCGAATGTACAATAGCACCGTAGTCTGAATCAGGGTTAGTGTTAACAGAATTTATTCGTTATTAATATCCAACACTAAATATCATAAGATGATCTACGCGTATAAGAATTATTATTTAACTATAGAAAAAATATTAAGGGGTTGTTTGTTTCAGCCTCTTAATGGTTCAGATGTCTGAATAGTTCAGCACTTAAGGATTCAGACTGTTTGTTTCAGCCTCTTAATGGTTCAGATGTCTGAATGGTTAAGAGATTTGCCTCTGAATGGTTAAGTATTATACAGAGTCTGAATGGTTAAGACCTCTTATCTGAATTGATCAGACATTTGCCTTTGAATAGTTAAAGCAATATACTAGCACTTAATGGTTCAGACCTCTTACTGGTTCAGCACTTAATGGTTCAGACCTCTTACTGGTTCAGCACTTACCTCTTCAGAAGTTGCCAAACAGCCCCTAACATTACTTTCAATTTTTTTAGATTGATTTGATTTAAATGGATCTAATACGATATTTTTCAATATAATTGGATCTAATATAATACCTGATTTGAATGAATCTGATCTAATATAATTAGATGAGACCTGATTTGATCTGATCTGAACGAATCTGATCTAATAGAATTGGATCTAATATGATATTTTTCAATTTGATCTAGTTTAATATAATCTTATTTTAACTAAAATATAAATAATAAATAGAATACAATTTTAACAGAGGGCAACCTTAGAGAGTAACTTAATATGGTGCGAATGTATTTTCACTGTTCTCTCCATCCTAGAACTATTATCATAATTAGGCCATGCGTAGCGCACTAGTGCACCGCGGCGTGGCTTTCGTGAGTTGAGATGGCTTTGCCACCTTGGTAGTGACTCAAGTGAACAACGCCCCTCAAGGCAATTCATAAATAAAAAATGTGTGAGATACTAGATAGAAAAAACTACTCATTGTGATAAATTTCATTATTCGAATACCACATGTGATCTATCAAATCGGCACGGAGGCAGAAATGCATATCCGGGTACTGGGTTCTGTAATGCCAACCTATATGACTCTTGTTGCTCCGTGTCAACTGTATGTCCCACCATTTTCACAAACATCATTTCAGTCGTACTCGCATATTGTACGACATTCGTCTCCAAGTGTCATCTTGTTTAATAAGATACAAGCATACATAATGTATCTCAACTTTTTTACTTGGAAAGCACGTGTCAAGTTTTGCACAATGTATCACTGTTGCTTTAGAACATCAAAAAGTCGTTCAACATTTTTACTAGCCGCCTCTTGGTATAAATTTGGACAAGATTGAAAAGTAGTCTTAAAATTAGACCTGGCAAAACAGACCCGAACTCGATAACCCGAACCGAATAACCCGGAACCGAACTCGATTAGACCCGAAAACTGAAGAACAGAAATAGAACCGAACACCCAAAATGATCCGAACCTAACCGAACACGAACTGAATGTATTCAGACTCGATTCAGATCTGAATATGATTTAACCCGTACTGATTAAACCCGAACTGATAAAACCCAAACCCGGTTAAACTCGGAATTGATTAGACCCGAAATTGATTAAATTTTAAAAATGATTCATCTATCCTACACATCATATCTTACCTTATTATAAACTAATGACAAAATTAGAAAATAATATCAAAATCATACATTTTTAGGTTGTGCTTTTTTTGTATTTGAAAATTTTTTTGGGACGGAGGAAGTAAATTATACGACTAGATAACAAAAAATTATACCCTCCAGATCTCAGTTTATAGACACAATGTTGTCTTCTTTGTGGCATCGATGACTATACGCTTTGTGGTTGCGCTAGAAGAACTTATCCCGCTTCCGTCACCAAATAAAAAATATTGTTCGCCTTCGATCGGAGATGAAGAAGAATCCATGGCAACAAAAAAGATTGTTGATGGGCCGATATCCAACGGGCAGCCCAATTGAACCATTTGATGGGTTCCGGTCAAGCCCTTAGGGAATACTTAGGCTTGGGCCGGCCCATGAAGCTAAGCCCGGTTAATTCCAGTCCAAGAATAGCTGGTAGAGTCAATCCGGAGAAGGAGACCGAGCTGAATGACGGAGACGAAGCCGGAAAAAGGGGATCGCGCCATTGACGGGAGAGACTCCAATAATTATGTATTACCTTAATTGTCTAGAACCGATGTATAAATAGAGGAGACCCGAAAGGGGAAAACTCAAGCTAAATCAAGCTAATAATACACACCCTATTCTCGAATTCTCGTTTTTAATTCTGTTCTTACGATCCGCTCTTCTGAATCGGATCATTTGGTGGATTTATTGTCCATCAAATTGGTGCTCTCGTTGAGAGTTCGAGAATTATACTTAGAGGAAACCCTCCACGAAGACGATGGTGTAGACACGTAGCAACGCCAACGCAGGTACCGGAGCTCCCCACCAGGGAGAAAACAGCGCCACTGGAGGCCGGCACCCCCTATCACCACGGTGGAGGCAGAGGCCCTCATCCAGAGGGTCGGAATCACGGCTGAGCAATTCAAGGAGGTGCTGGCGGCACTGACGCCCAATCGCGAGATTGTGGTGGAAGATGTGGCTGGGGGACCCACAGGCGGAAAGGCTGGACCTGCGGGCTCTCAGGGGAAAAAGAAGAAAGTGAGGCGGTCCCAGAAGAAGAAGGAGACCAAGCCTAATGGGAAGACCGTAATGGAAGAAGCGCTATCCAGATTGGACGAGGAAGACGAGTCGTCCTCTTTCGAGCGGATGTCTGCTTTTGATTGCTTGGGAGACCCCAAGTCAAAGAAGCCCCGAACCTCCGCGTTCAAACGGTTGCATGACACTCGGTCGGCCCGGAAGGGCAACCTCAAGGAGACGCTCAAGGAGAGGAGAGGAGAATCCACAGCGACCTCCAATATCGGCTCTGAGAAGCGACGAAAGGCGGTCGAGGACAAGGAAGCAGCTGAGCTGTGGAGGATGTATGAGCGACAAGAGAAGCGGCTGGACGCCCAAAACCCCTACCGCCATGTGGTCTTTAGCGAGGTAACACCCTTCTCCAGAAGGATAATGTCCTGCCCTCTCCCGGACAACTTCAAGACCCCACAGATCAAGGCGTACAACGGGACGACCGATCCCCAGGACCACCTTGCTCGCTTCGGGGCGAACGTGGTCATGTATGCTACCTAGAAGAAATCAAGTGCTGATGCTTCCTGGTGACACCGGAAGGGCAGGCTTGTGAGGTGTTTCACAATTTGCCCAAGGGATCGATAGACAAGTGGAGCGACCTGGCCCACAAGTTCTTGGAGCACTTCGCATCCAGCCAGAGGCAAAAGCTCCCCTTCTCGCACTTGTTCAATGTAAAGATCCGGAAGGGAGAGCAGCTCCGGGAATTCATTAATAGGTGGGAGAAGGAGGCCAAGGACGTCAAAGGGGCGGACGACCAAGCCCTGATCGCCATGCTCCAAGCTGCACTCCCCCAAGCAGAAGAAGAAGGAACCTCTGGTTTTCACGGACGAGGATTACCCACTAGTCCTCAGCCCCCACAGGGACGCGCTGGTGATAAAGGTGGAGATCAATAATGTGGTCGTCCATCGTACATTGGTCGATACTGGCAGTTCGGTCAATGTTATGTACAACAACACCTTTAAGGAGTTGGGGTTGTCTCGAAGCGACCTGAAGCCGATCCATACGCCACTGTCAGGGTTCACAGGAGATACCATTGAAGCCGAAGGGACCATCACGTTGAAGGCCGGGGTAGGAGATGGCACCCACCGACTCTGGCTCGACATGGAATTCATGGTAGTGCAGCTCGATTGTGCACACTATTTGATTCTGGGGCGACCAGGGTTGGAGGACCTGGAGTGCGTAATATCCCCCGTCCATCTATGCCTGAAGTTTAACACCCCCACAGGGGTGGGAGTGGCAAAGGGGAATCAAAGCTTGTCTCGATCGTGTTATGTTAGGGCGACCAAGAGCCAGGCACGGTTCGATGAGAACGTGAGCACGATCTGTGGTGCGATCCAGAAGGAGGAGGGGCGACCTTGAGCTGAGCCAGCGGACGAAATTGAAGAAGTCACCTTAGATCCGGCCAGGCCAGAGCAGAAGGTGAAGGTAGGTAAAACTTTACTGCCCAGGTTAAAGGAGCAACTGTTGGAGGTCCTTCAAGCATTCAAGGTGCTATTCGCTTAGGGCCCGGAGGATATGCCCGGGGTCGACCCAAGGATCATCTGCCATAGGTTGGCAGTAGACCCGACCCACAAGCCGGTCAAGCAGAAGAAGCATTTTCTTTCTTCAGAACGAAGAGATTTTGTCACCAAGCAGGTGACAACCCTGCAGTCCATTGGGCACATCCCGGAAGTCCGCTACCCGGAATGGTTGGCGAATGTAGTCCTCGCACCCAAAGGGAATACCTGGCGGATGTGCGTCGATTACACCGACCTAGATAAAGCCTGCCCGATGGATCCTTTCCCTCTCCCCAACATTGATCAGTTAGTTGATGAGACGACAGGGTGTGAGCTGATGAGTTTTATGGATGCATTTAGCGGGTACCATCATATCAAGATGGCTATAGCGGATGTAGAGAAGACCGCTTTCATTACCCCCAATGGAGTGTACTGTTACAGGGTAATGCCCTTTGGCTTAAAGAATGCCGGTGCGACCTACGCACGGATGGTCAACAAACTGTTCGCACCGGTGTTTGGGGGATGTATGGAGGCGTATGTGGACGATATGATCGCATAGTCCAAGCAGATGGGGTTCCATGCCCAAGATCTGGAAAGGGTTTTTAAGATCATGAAGAAGTTCCAGCTCTGCCTTAACCCCAAGAAGTGTACATTCGGGGTTCAGGGGGGTAAGTTTCTAGGACATATGGTCAGTCGAAGAGGGATTGAGCCCAATCCGGAGAAGGTTAAGGCAATTTTGGAGATGGAACCTCCGCGGATCGTGAAGGAGGTCCAGAAGCTTATAGAGAGGATCGCTGCTCTCAGTCGCTTCTTATCAAAGATAGCTGATCGAGCGGCACCCTTCTTCCAGACCATCAAGAAAAGTAAAGGGTTTGTTTGGACCGAAGAATTCCAGCGGTCCTTTGAAGGGTTGAAGGCATACCTCCTTTCCCCACTGGTACTTTCGAAGCCAGAGCTCGGAGAGACCCTATTTCTATACTTGGGAATCTCTCCTAGAGCTGTGAGCTCGGTAATCGTGCGGGAGGAGGAGGGTACGCAGCGACCGGTGTACTACGTGGCTCGGGTACTGCGGGGGGCTGAATTAAGATATACGAACATGGAAGAAACTCACCCCATATTTTCAAGTTCACCCGGTCCATGTGTTATCTCAAACTCTAATCGGAACACTCCTTCGAAGCCCAAATGCCCCGTCGCGAGTCAGCAAGTGGGGAGTGTTCCTGGGGTCTTTCCAGATACAGTTTAAGTCGCGACCGGAGATAAAGGAGCAGGCCTTGGCGGATTTCGTGGTGGAATGCACTGTGAGGGAAGAGGAGTCCAATGGAGAGGAACCCGAAGGAAACTGGTGGACTGTGTACACTGATGGCTCGTCCGCGACTGATGCTTCGGGGGGAGGTGTTGTGGCAATATCACCGGAAGGGTTCAAAGCATACTACTACGTGAGGTTCCGGTTCATGGTCTCAAACAATGAGGCTGAATATGAGGCACTGCTTTGCGGTTTGAGGCTGGCAGCATCATTAAAAGCTGAACGGATTCAGGTCCGATGCGACTCCAAATTGATAGTAGGCCATGTCACAGGAGAATTTGAGGCCAAGGATGAGCGAATGAAGAAGTACAGGGACGCTGCTCTAGAGTTGCTTAAAGCATTTAGAGCGTACCGGATAGAGCAGGTCCTCCGAGAAGAGAATGCCGAGGCGAACATCCTGTCGAAGCTTGGTCCGGATTCCCCAGATCATATCAAGGCAATGACCCGGGAAGAAGAGTTGCTCGAGCCAAGCATTAGTCCTGGACAAGTGCTGGTCGTTACGCACAAAGAGCCGGATTGGATCGATGAAATTACCATGTACATCCTTGATGGGTCGCTACCTACCGACCCAATCGCAGCAAAGGTGGTGAAACGACGTGCACCTAACTACACTCTGGAGTGCGGTCGGCTGTACAAACGGTCATACAATGGTACATTATTGAGATGCCCAAGAAGGGACGAGGCGCAGAAGTTAATGGAGGAAATCCATGAAGGAATATGCTTGGCACACCAGGGAGCCTTCACAATGTCCAGAAAGGTGACTCTGCAAGGGTATTTCTGGCCAACGATTATCAGAGATTGTGCAAAATACGTGCGTAAGTGCAAGGTCTGCCAGGTGTTCTAAAAGGTGCCAGGACGACCAGCGACGAATTATACCCCGATCAGCACGGCAATTCCCTTTGCTCCGTGGGGTATTGATCTGGTCGGTATTTTGCCCAGGAGAACAGGAAACAACACGTACCTCGTGGTCGCGATCGACTACTTTACCAAGTGGGTCGAGGCTGCCCTCGTGCCGACCATCACCGAAGAGTAGATGAGGAAGTTTCTATCCAAGCAAATCTTGTGCCGATTTGGGGTACCCCTGCAGATCATCACCAACAATGAACCGAGTTCGAGGCTAGAGGGTTCAATGAGTTTCTACAGAGCTGGGGTATAAAACATAGCTACGTAGCGGTCGGGTACCCCCAAGCCAATGGGCACGTCGAGAACACTAACCGTACCATTTTGGATGGCCTGAAGAAGAAGATAATGAAATGTAAAAGCGCCTGGGTGGAGGAATTGCCCTACATCTTGTGGACCTACAGAACTACCCCGAGGAAGGCTACGGGTGAAACTCCGTTCTCGCTAACATATGGGTGTGAAGAAAGGGCTCCAGCGGAGACCTCATTGCTGAGTTATAGAGTGGAGACATTTGACGCCCAGGAGAATGAAGAAAACTTGAGGGCAGAGCTGCACCTAATTGATGAGCGGAGAGAAAGGGCGTACATACGGGCGGAGAACTACCATCGGCAAGTCAAGTCGTATCACGACCAACGGGTGCGACCAAGGCAGTTCAGAGTAGGCGACTGGGTCCTTAGGAAAAGGGAGGTCAGTGGCCGACCGACGGAGGGAAGTTCGCTAAGAGTTTCGAAGGGCCATACATCATAAAGGAGGCGTTGGCCGATGGGACGTTTAAATTGCAAACACCAGCTGGAGGCGACGTTCCGCGAGTATGGAATGCCGCCAATCTTATTAAATTTTATCAATAGATTGTATTTCAGCCGTGTTTCTCTTTTTAAAAGTTTAATAGGACCAGCATTCTGGAATATCTTTACCTCCATCTCGAAAAAAGAAAAAAAAGAGAAGCGACCAAAGAGATCGCTAATCGAAGCTGTATGGTGATTCGCACTAAGACACCCGCCAGAGGATGAAGTGCCGAACCCTGTCAAGCGACCAAGATTGAAGGCTATCGAGGAATGCTCGCTCCCCAGTCGTCAGAGCGACTATAGGGGCGGTGCGACTAACCAGAGGGCGACGCCGTGGCGAGAAAGCCTAAGAAAACGGCTAAGAAGCTCTGGAAGGGGTTTGTCAAGATCATGCATCATGTAGTTCATGACAAAACCCTTATACAGCTCAGGGAGCGACTGCAGGATCAGGTCCGTTGCCAACTCCTTCTGCAAGGAGAACCCGAGTTTCCCCAGATTGGTTATGTAACCAATCATTTTGAGAACGTGCGGACCGACCGGGTTCCCTGAAGAGAGCTTGCAACTAAAGAGAGCCTTACTCACGAGAAAACACTCATGCCTGGATTGCCCCTGGTATAGCTGCCGCAAGGCCACGATCATCTCGTGGGTCTTCATGTCCTCGTGCTGTTTTTTCAGCTCAGGTATCATGGTAGCCAGCATGACACAGCTAACCTGGTTGTCATCCTTAACGTG